CGTTGCGGTCGCCACTCCTGACATGGTACAGATATAGATAGTTGAAAGGCGCTTCAGCCAGGTATGACTCTTTGGTCTTTACTTGTCGCAGCGACGATAAATCGAAACCTTGTTCCAGACCTTTTCCGAGAACACCCTTCTGCGACTCATCGAATGTACAGGTACTTCCTAGCTCGAGGATGGCGCGGATGTTGAGTGGTACTTGCTTCTCATATACGCCCTCGACACTGGCGTGGTTGAACAGTGCAGAGATGCTTTTCGCTTCCTGGACGTATGTCTCTTCCGACATTTGAAGCTTGAACAAATGGATCGACGGGTGGCCGTTGGGCAGACTGTGATTGACAACCTTTTCCACGGAGCAGCCACTGATTGAGACATCAGGAAGGTCTTCGCTCCTCAGGTTCAGATACAGGGTCCGAGGTACGATGATCTTGAGAGCGTGGATCTTCTTGTCGATCAGAACAAAAGCCCTGACCTCGCCTGGTGTTTCAGTTGGCCGTAATTGAACAAGCTGCCATGTGCTGATGTACAAAGACTGGGCCTGGTTCCTGAAGAAGCTGCCAATTGCATCAGAAGCGTCAACAGCCTTCTCTCCGAACAGCTGTCGTCGGCGCTTCCGTGCTTCTCGTTGAATCTTCCACTTCTGTTTCTGATACATCAGCCATCCGGAATAGTCGTGATCGATGCTCGGCATAACTTTGGGCAACGCGGCATATGGGTCGACGATAGGCACTGCAGGCTCAGGCTCCTTGCGCTTCGCCACCATCTTGGTGACTATTCCCTTCTTCATCTGGGACTGGTTCTGGGTCAGCTTTGCCGAGCCAAAATCTTCAAAGTCTCCAGACAGCTTGTTGTTCGCGACGTTGGCGTCGCCATTAGTCAACACCTTCTTACTGAACATGTCCGTCATCTTTGTCTGTTGAAACTTGTCCTCCTTCTGACGAATTCTGCGGTCAAGCCAGTCGGGATGCGGCACCCTGGGCACGGGGTTTCGAACTTTCTGGTACGCCGCAGGGATGGTAATCAGCTTCTGAATGACGGACGCCAAACGTTCGCGGTAGTAATCCCAATCAAGAATCGTTCGAATGTCCATCTCTCCAGGATCGTCTCGTAACCATTTCCTCAGGAAGTACCTCTTAACAGACTCTTCGGCCGAAAAGATTGCTAAAGGAACAGCGCGCTCAGTGACGGGAGCATTCCTAGGTGTCTTTGAGATGATGTACTTGCAGTTCAGACCTTTGTCCTTCACCATCTGTTCTCCCAAGAATTCAGCGAGACGCTTAGCAGTCGTGATAGCGGTTGATTTCTGCGCTCCGTACTCCTCCAATGTCTTTGTCATACTCTTGTTCTCAACAATCAGGTCGATAAGCTCCTCGTCTGCGAGTGTTGCTCCACGAGTATCCAGGATATCAAGCCATCGGTTGGCGACCTTTGCGACGGCTCCATACGTCTCCTCAAGCGTCGTGCCTTCCAAGAAGAACTTGAAAATCTGGGCCTGAAAATTCTTGATGAGCTTCAGTTCACCACGGCGCTTCACCTCGAAACCCTTCAATTCCGCCAGGCTGCCATCGTGATTGAAAACTGCATAACGCTTTTTCAAGTTCTTATCCTCCTCTTTGGAAGTTGGCAAGATCATGGCCTTGTACGGTCCATCGACTTCAAAAAAGATGGAGTTATCGCTGTGCTTCTCGTAGCGGAACGTCTCGGGGTCTACTAACGTCTCATACTGGTGATTGGTATACTGTGCGTGAACCAAGTGGTTCAACATTGTACAAGGGTATGAGATGGTCAGCTTCTTACCATTGCTGAGTTTGAAGGCAAAGTTCTCGGGAAATGTTGCTGGTAGAATAGCCCAAATACCGTCAGTGTCCAGTTCCAAGGGTCGTCCAATGCGCTCCACAAGCGAGCGGGCCAACTGAATGATGCGAGCACCAGTCAAGCAAGTGACACCAGCCATCTCAAGAGAGTACCAACGAGATCCCTTTCGCATGACATAACCGTAGAAAGAATTAAGAATGACTTTGTGTGCCAGCTGCATAGAGTCGAAAAGAACGATCATCTTCTTTGCATCTTCAATCTCAGTAGCAGGAGCACCGGCGGCTTTGAGTGCTTCCGTCTTCCCCTTCCAGATCTTTTGCTTGCCCTTGAAGTCGTAACGTCGATCACGAAAACCGCTGACGGTGTCAACATAAAAAGGATTCTCTCGTTGGCAGATGATAGCCTCGCGCTCGATCGTCGTGGCGTCATGGACTTTGTGGTAGATCTTCTTGGAGTAGTCTGTTAGACGTTTCCTAACAAGCGCAGCCTGTTCTTCTTCCGAAAGATCTTGGAACGTTCGCTTTGGCGAGTTGGGAAACCTTCCAGGAAATTGCTCGTTCTCTAAAGCGTTACGAACCATGTTGTACTCGTCGCGCTTGGCTGGTAGGTATTCACCTCTCCAGGCCCATGGCATTCTGCGATCGCACGTCTTTCCTGGTCGGTTGAAGTCGCAAGCCGCGCAATTCGACTCGTTAATCATAGAATCAGGTTGCAGACGGTTAGTTGTCATGATGTTAGGATACATAGACGCGACGTCCAAATGATAGATGAGAGGCCGTTCGCTACGGTTTGGCGTGTTCTTGAGCTGCATGAGCTTCTCAACAATCTCAGCTTTGATCTCTTCGTAATTCGTTACGTCCTCCATCTTCTTCTTTTCTTCAACCTCGATGCTGAACTTGAGTGCGGCGTCAAGATCGTTGAGCAATTCGTCAATAGCCGTAGGGTCGACAGCGAAATTATAGGCGATGTCGCTTCGGAACACGCCAGCTTCCAGCGCTTCGACGTGACCTCCAACATAAGTCTCTGACTCGAGAAGATGACCCTCCCAGAAAGCTTCCTTGGGTGGATTGTGCTTATTCGGTAGCACGATGCCCTTCTGGTATGCCTGCACCATCAAGAGCATCTCGCAGAGGGTACCTGTACCCTTGCGCAATGCATCGTCCGGTCCGAGTGGAAGAATCTTGCACAGAGCGAAAATGAACGGATGTACGTACTTCATGTACAAGTAGTAAGTAGCAACAGCGTCGGAGACGGAGTACTCTGCAAGCGTTTGGGGTCGCTCGGCTGCGTAGGGCGTCATGAGTTCCGGATCGAGCTCGTCTGGGTCGTATCCGAGCTTAGCCATTGTCACAGCTTTTAGACCACGACTACCTTGAGGTAGGTAACTGTCTCGACTAACCCAGGCAAAGGCATCCATGTGGGCACAATAGTCCGACTGATAGATATCCTCGCTGTTCTTCCTGAATCCGATTTCTTGATACATGTCGATACCCTGTACACTAGATCTTGCTTCGACAAACGGCCAATCGAAGAAGTCTCCGTTATATGTGACCATGACTGTTGGTCTAGCTATCTTGATATGTTCGAAGAACCGTTCCAACACCGCCTTCTCGTCCGGCTCGTTGAAAATCATAAACGGTCCTTGGTATTCCGGCTTCGGTGTGTACTCGAAGTCTGCAATGTCTTCCGATACGATCTCGCGGTTTGTGATGAGAAATCCTTGACCGTCGATCATGTACGATATCATCATGATCTGATCGATGGCAGCGTCTGGAAACTTCAATGGGAGTTTTGTCGTTTCGATATCGTACGCCATGACGACGGGATCTGCTGGTGTGAGGCGTTCCTCTATGCACTTGATGCTTATTACGCCATGCTTGGCCTCGACAGTATACCAGTTTCCAATTCGGACGTCCTTGTCAATAGCCACTCGCACGTGGTAAGGAACGTCGTATTCTCGGATATCTAAAATAAAATCGCTGGCGTCAACAGTAGTCATAAATCGTTTCTCGTATTCGTGCTCGTCGTTATCAAAGAAGTCAAAGTCGCCGTTGCCACTATGCAAATGTTAGCCGAAGTCCACGCGTAAGAAACCAGCCAAACTCACTTTGCAACCTCTGCATATGTGTCCATCGCGTTGACGTTCTTTTTGTTCTTCTCTACGATTGGATTGACAGCCTTTCGTACAGCCAACAAGTCGTTGACATTTGCGAAGGTAAGTTGCAAGAACTTTCTTCGGTACCCTGTCAGGTGATTTGGCATACTCAGGTCCTCCTTTTCCACGATCTTTATGGATTTGATCAATCCCTCGTATGCCTTTTTGCAGTACTCTTCCACATCTTGTTCTCTGCCCTTCTTGATCGCCAATAAGAAGTAGGGGTCGTATTCGAGCGTCGCTTTGAATGTGTCGCCTTCTTCGCCGATGAAGTAAAAGTCCACACCGGCTTTGCCACCTGGTACTTCTTCGTCTTCTACCGTTGTCGAATGCATGTTGACGAGCCATCCGACCTTCTTCTTGCCAGAATCGAAGCGCGCGAAGCCCATGGTTTCATCGATGCGGTTTGCCAAGCGAGTGGATTCGAGTTTCTCGTTCTGAGAGGTACCCTCACCACTGCGTAGTGACGAGGCGTCGACCGTCTTCGGTTTCCGTGGGCCATAGGATGTGTTGCCCAGCTTGCCTACCCGGCGGAAGGGCTGGCCTGCGCGTCGTGGCGCCATGATATGTGGTAGTGGTGGAAGGTGAGAGAGTATTAAATGCTAAATATGTAGATCAGGGTATCATTGGAGCAGCGAAGAGAGCGGAAAGAGCGAAAAGACGGGGTATCGACAATTGGCGGTGGGAGTGTAGTGGAGGGACTCGCAGGTCTGAAGGGTGGATCGGCAAATGTTGGACGCGACGCGCTGGAGCGTGTTCGGCGCTTTCCCCTTCCCAGCAAATTGATTTTGGTGTGGCTGTGCGGCGGCCCTCAGCCACACTTTGATCGATCTCGTCGGATCATACATGCTGGATATTTTCGGGCCTATTCCGCATCGACAGAAAGTCCACGAGCCGCGACTCACGATACAGCACTCGCAACGACGACAACCACCAGCGTCCAACTATCTCTTGACAGCCTCGTAGAGATTTATCGCTCGCATATCTCTGCCTCCCCACCTCCTAGTAATCCACCCATCACACCACAATGGCCGACGACACGCGGAATACCGTCGATGTGAATGCGCTTCCACCAAAGCCCCGCGCGCCCGCCAACACCATGCCCGGTGGCACAGCACATACAGCAGGAGGCGAAAAGACTTCAGACGGTGGTCCCACATACATCGACGCAGTACGGAGTCTCGGACCAGAATACTACTTAAACTTCCACAAGCGACCATGTGTAAGAGACAGTCAATTGCAAGGACTCGCAGCAGGGTTTGCAGGAGGAAGCTTAGCTGCTATAATAGGCAGTACGTCGCCATTGCTTTCTAAACGAGACCTGCGGACAATGTACTAAAACCTATCACAGAGCCGGTCATCACAGCCTCCAACTGGGCCGTAGCAACCTGGTGCGGTGTGTCCGTCGTCTCCTACCAAGTATGCCAGTACTACCGATCGAAAGAAAAGGCCGGCATAAAACAAGCACAAGAGCTCATGGAGAAGAAGCGCGCAACTATCGAGGCGAAGAAAGAGGCACGACGGAGAGCGAGGGAGGAACAGGATCGACTAGAGGCAGAACGAAGGGCAGAAGAGGAGAGGAGAAAGAGCTGGAGCTATTGGTACCAGAAGAACGTCAAGTTTTGGTAGAGTGTAGTAAGCATGAGGGCTTGAGAGATATGATGCCATGTACAGTTGTGTATAAGAATATGTACTATATGCGCCTTGACGCGACATGAATTACGTGGTATGGGTCACTTGACTATCTTCTCGCATTATCCGACTCTGATGACCTGTCCACAATAATGCCCCCAGGAGGACCTCCTGGTCATAGCCATGTTCAGTGACTGTATTCTCGACATGGCCTGCGGCTACTAGGATATATGTACCTTCGCCGTCCTCCCAGACTGCAACAGAGTGGTTGAGCCGATTCTCTACAGCCATGCAGTTCTCGTTCTAGGACATGGCACCACTCTCTTCCGGCTCTATCTGCCGTGTGATTTTCAATAGCGGAAGGGACAAAAGTTCGACAGCAAGACTTGTGTCTGCGCGGCTAGACGGAACCTTCACGACAACAACCAGCATCCGGCTTCCACCTAGGTATACAATCACGAGCACTACTACTACAAAGCTCACATTCCTCGACGAGTCATTCTGATCAATCGGGGTAAATACCAGCTGCACCAGCGGAGCCTGAGTCTATCTACAGAAGAGAAGCGGACTCAGGATCTAGGCCCAGAGTATCGTCAGTACAGTGATGAACTGAACGATTGGATGATGCAATATCTGAGCTGCAAACCGGAGAGCTACGATAGAACGAGTCTCGAGGCCACGAAAATGCTCACGAAGATTGGTGGGAATCCATCTTAGGTCGATATAGACGCAAGATTTGGTATCGACGCTTACACCCAAAGCACTTCTTGGCTTCACTCTTGTTCGGTTCAACAAGCGTCATTCTCTTCAAAGGCCATGTCTCGCCATATCCTCACGATCACCAACTTTTCCCAGCCCGCCTTTTTCCCGCTTGACCCTACCGTCTCCGCCATCCAACCTGAGCCCCAATTTCTTATGCGTTGTTTGACCGCTTCCGGTTTGTTTTGTGCACACAAAAGCACGTATGCGACGCCTCGACCCATACTGAGTGTCTCCGGTACCTGTTCCAGCATCCTATTCGTCACTACCATACCATCTTCCCCTCCTGCATACGACAGTTCCAACAGATATGAGTCTTGTTCGAACGATGTCGCTTTCTTTCCTTCTGGTATGGCGTTGTACTTGTTGTGGCTCGCTAGATCAGGCAACTCGGCCGGTACATATGGCGGATTGAATATGAAGACATCGACAGAATGCGGCCGGATAGCACTCGCCAAGTCGCCATTCACGACATCGGCGAAGATGGAGCGCCCATCCTGCTGTTCCTTGATCGCATCGCGAACCGTTTGGGAGGCAGCTTTGCAGGCGAAGCTGTTGATATCAACCCCAAGTGTCAGTACGTCGTGGCGGTTGAATATTGTGCGCGCATTCGCAGCGACGAACGCCAATACGACGCCTGATCCTACGCCCACTTCGAGCACCAACGGTGGGGTTGTGGAAACATCTCCAAATCGTCCCTTTAAGTATGCAGTTTCCGACGCAGAAGAGAGCGTGTCGAGTAGCAGGTACGAGTCTTCAGCCGGTTCGTACACGCGATCAAAACATACATGGGATGTGGATGGTGTTGGCAGCATGGTCGCGATTTTGTTTCGAGATCGGAGGTGTCGGTGTGGGCCAATTGGAATGGAAGGAGCACCCTAGTCTAGAGTAGAGCCGAGGCTGAGGTCATCACTTCTCGAATGCATCACAGCTGCTCTGCCACAATCTTTTGAATCTTCATCCATTCTTTTGCAACAATGAGAGCCTGTGCACGGTTACTGGCTACCGCGACAGATGCGGGCGCATCGAGGCCCTTCAAGCCGGCACCTGCTGCCTTGTTGCCACCAATACCACTTTATCGACGTCTGCTACGCTCGCATAGGAAAAGGCTAGGCGTGGAGGAGCGATTACTTGGGGACATGTACGTCAAGGCCGAGTTCAGGGCACACAGGGACGTCGAGAACCCTGTGCAAATAGTAAGTCATGCACATTTTTGGACAGTCGCTTTGCAATGTCACAGATTCTAAGTTCCATAGATTGGGTTTCTGTCGGAATGGCAAACATACTGCCAAATGCTAGAGGGAGACTCGTGGAAGGAAGCCAAGATGGACAAAGCTAAGATTGACAAGATGAGCGGTGAGTTTTATGGACTGGTACAAAGACACACACTGACTGGATCACAGACCAACAAATTGGTCAGCTCTATGAGCTCATGCAACAGATCAAGAACCAAGCTCAGGAAGATGCTGATGCCGAAGAAAAGCGCGTGACAGAATTGCTCGACAAGAAGCCTTCGACCGAACAGTGATCGCAACGTGTGTGAATCTCAGTTTTCATTCAACAACGTCCAATGGCAAACGTGGCTGGCTTCACGCCTACCGATGAATGCGTAAACACGAAGAGCTTGGATACTTCACATGGTACTCCAAGATGTACTATATATCAGAAATACCAGATCAGTCTCCAACATCTTCTCACGTCCACCTCTTCCGTCGCTCCATGATCGTTGTCCATCTAAGAAACTTCGCTTCACAACCTGAAGCCTCTCAGGTGCATCCCAACTTCCTCCAATAAGTCCCAGTCTTCGACGGGTACAGAATTTTTCAAAGGGAAAAACGCTATCAATACTGGAATTTCGTCTTGCGATTGATTATACGAGAGTTATATCTCGTGCAAAGTCTTTGCTTACCGGATATGTGTGGTTGTACCCTATACGATTCTCCAACATGTGGCCACTCCTGGATTTCCATGAGTCAACCTTGCGGCTTTCTCTCCGATCTCCTCAGCTGTCCATATCGCCAAACCTATCAGACTTTGATCGCACCGCCCTACACCTGTCCTATGTGCAACGGCGGATTTGCAGATCGAGAGACAATCGAAATGGTGCAAGGACCTTGGGGTACTAACCAAATGCTTCGAAACCATGTTGGTGGCGGCTATGCGATTCCGGGTCAGTGGGGAAGTGCGCCATTCATGTCTGGTGGATGGAGAGGTCCAGCAATTACTTCAGGAACTACATCTGGCGCTCTGATGCCTATACACCATAGGAATCAAGGCTTCACTTACGATTACCGTCTTACTGGCCCTTATATGCCTCAAAACATGATGTCGCATGCTCCGGTCATCACGAGTGGACCGATGATGGGTAGTTCGGCAATGGTTATGAACGAACCGATAATACACGATAATGGGTTTGGCGGATACGACGATGGCTATATCAGCGATTATGGTGGATACTATGACGCTAGACGCAAGAAGAGGAGGCACAAGAGTCATTACAAGTACAAGTATACGGATAAACCCGTAACCAACTGCACAGTTATGTGAGCTGCTAGTGTGCTGGAGTCTGCGAGATTAGCTGTGGATTTCTGCCTCCACCAAATATAGTAGCTGACTCGTTGTTTAATCAGAAGCATAAGTCAGGATGAGAGTGCCCTTGGAATAGTCCGCCTAAGAGGTAGTCGAGGATGCCAGAGTGAAGCAACCACTGTCCTGGTAGCGAATCACCGGTACGCTTAGCTTTAGGGCAAGACCCTGCATCCAGACCAGAATGCCTTAGCCAACGGCTGGAGCACCCAAGAGCGCCCAAGAATGAGGCGACAAGACGATCCCAATTAGATAACGACTGTGAACTGCATCTCCCGATCGTGTGAAAAAGTCGGCTTGATCACAAGAAAACGTAAACAACTTCCCGTGCTCTTGCTTTGTTCGAAGCGCTACTTCGGCTACGTCATTCGTCACGGGGGCCGGGCTCCTTGTAATCAGACTTCCTAAAACATTAAACTACTTCTCCTGAACTATAAACCCCTCCACGAACCGCACCAAGATCCAATTCAGACCACACACTTCGCAATGGCAACCAATGCGCCTACCTTGATCAACCTGCCACCTCCGCCGTCCGGCGAAGACACGCCTGGTGATGCTCCGTAAGGCACATGCGCTTGGTGGGGCTGAATCAGATAGTTAGACTGACGCTGTACATGTAGAGGCACCCCAAACTCGGTCACGACGACCATGTCTGAGCTCTCCACTGTTGCCATCAAAGACGGACATCGTGGCCACTTTCCCCACCACCGGAATCCTGCTGAAGCTGAACGTGCCGACCGCATCTCGCGCCTAGCGGGTCTGGAGCGCGTTGCAGTCTCGGGTCGCAATCCTCAAGGACTCAACCCAGGGAGCGCAGCCAACCCTCCTCCAGGTTACTTTGATGCAAACAACCAGCCGCAACTCTTCCGTGAGCGCAGCACTGTTGGTAGTGCCAGCGCGACTGGCTCCGTTGGCGGTCGCACAACGTGGGCAAGCGGCAGCGATGTCTACGAGCCCGATCGCATGAGTGAGGACCAGGACATGGACACATCAAGCATGGGGGGCTTCAGTGACGAAGCTGCTTCCCTTGTTGGTTTTGGTGAGGGTGCGCGAACACCAGCTCGACAGCATAGCCAACTCGGTAGCCCTGCTGTCGGAAAGGCAAGCGCTCTGCCAGGTTACTTGCGAGAACAAACCCCGACTAGTCCCATGTCAGGCGTCAGTGTACCTGTCAGCTCAGGATCGACACAGACCATGTCCAGCATCGAGCAGCAGAAGAAAGAGGCACGCATGATGAATGGCATGACGTACGATGACAACGTCGTCGACACGACTAGCCATGCGCCTCCTGCCAGTGGCCGCGACGGAGACTCAACTTCAGGAGACGCCATTCGCGAGCACATGGCACAGCGTCAAGCTGACCAGGATGCTGGTATGAACTATGAGCAGCAGAAGGACGCTTAGGGAAATGCTTTTTGTTTCACTCGAGTCATGCTTTGAGGCGGGCGTTGGGCAAAACTGTTAAGTTCGTGCATGTCTGTCTGTCTACTGTTGACAATTGGTCACGAAATTAGTATGGGCGGAAATTGAGTAGCCTGAGAGCTGCGTGGACATGAGATTAGTTACGAATGCGATGCTGTATGATTATTATCCTTGCTTGGAGTCATGTACCTTAAGCGATTGGCGTGTTCCCCCAGCTTCCGTGTCCATGCGCTTCAGTATGACGTTGAGCGCGCCATTGAATGGCTTGGAGCGACCCTCCGCCGCCAACGCTCACGGTAGTGCTTTTGTAACCCCGCAAGGCTGTGTCTGCCCTTGCGCCATCATGGCCGATACTGTTGATGGTCATGGCATGCGGCGAATCACACCCCGCATTCTGCAGCTTGCGGCCCAAGTGCTCTGGGCAGGTAGAAGGCCATCTTCTGGGCTTTGCACCTGCAGGCACGCCCTCCCCACCTCATTCCACTTCACATGTCGCGAACAGTCCTGCCCAACTGATAGCTGACTACTGTGCGAGGTCTTGTCACGTCTCCAAGTGCAAAACCCAGAACACATAGTTGTTTACCGTGTGCACGTTTATACTCGTCCACGAATTCCCGTAAACACTTCTTGCGGAGCCCCGCATTCCCCCAAACATAGCCGTCGTCGCCATGGCCGACCACAGCAACGAAGAAGCTATCGACATAAAGGAGACGTCGCTCAACAGCTCCGTGTCTTCCATAGGCCGCACGCCTCCGACAGCGCTCAAACTGGGCTCCAGTCCCAGTCCGGCCTCTTCACACCGCTCGAGCTTCGCGGAACACATGCGAGGAACGCCTACATCACCGCGCGCGTCACGGCAACCTTCGCTCACACAACAAGCTCTGCAAGACCTCCTGAACAACCCACCAACCAAGGGCGGTGACCCAAAGTTCCAGGGACGCGATTGGAAGTCAGTCAGGCTTGGAGAGATAGTCGACCCTGACCTAGTCAGATTTGTTGAATACGACACCAGTGTTGAGGATGCGACAAGCGTGAGTCGGATTCAGTTGTCTCTGTGCACCTGAAACTGACTTGCATAGATACTGGTCAAACACGGCGCTCCTAATGTCGTCCTTCTGCGCGAAGACGCAAACACACGACATGCGACCGGCACTTTCGATTACAGCGACCTGAACGCCTATCTCCTCCTTGTTGTCGGCCTCGCACACCCCGAAGAAGGCGACATCGCGTCGTTTGATGAGCTTGCAAAGAAGGGAAGAGAAGGAAAGCCTATACCACTCAAGGACGTGAAGGAGGTCGGCGGCAGGAAAGAGCCCTTGATTACTCTCGATGAGACAACAGATTTGTCCAAGGCTATAGAAGTCTTTGGAAGCGGCGTGCATAGGGTCTTGGTCGCAGAACAAGGCACCTCAAATGTCAAGGGCATTCTGACGCAGTTGAGATTGGTGCAGTTCTTCTGGGAGAACCGATCAAGCTTCCCAGGTGTCAACCAGCTATACTCGCAGCTGATCAAAGACTTGAACCTTGGATCCAAGACAGTCCTGGCCATCAAGTTAGTATGACACAATTTGAAAGTGGCATGTGACTGACTGGATACTTAGTGGAGATAAGCCTCTTGCGGCCGCTCTCGAGCTCATGAATAACGAAGGCGTATCGTCTTTACCAGTCCTGGACGCGCAGAACAACGTTATCGGCAACATATCACACGTGGATGTCCGCGTAGGTTTCTTCTGCCCCTCATGCGTACTCAGTGGCTGACAACTCCATTTCTAGCTCCTGACAAAATCCACTTCCCTACCACTACTTCGCTCATCCTGTATCCACTTCATATCCGTCATCCTGTCAGAGCGAGGAGTCAACGATGGCAAAGATTCCTTCCCCGTCTTCCACGTCAACCCATTCAGCACCCTCGCGCATACTGTGGCTAAGCTGGTTGCAACTCGCTCGCACCGCATGTGGGTCGTCGATGCACCGTCGCCTGCATCATCTGGACCATCAACTCCTGCGATAACACCTGCGATCGTTGTTCCTCCCTCGCCAATCACACCACTTCCCGGAATGGCAGGTCCTATACCTGTCAATTCGACCGCCCCGACGCACCTTGCCAGCACTGGAGCTGTTGCACCAGCTATCTCTGCATCCGCAATGTCCACCATGCCAGGGGCCAGCCTCTCTGGTAGACTTAGCGGAGTCATCAGTCTCACAGATATCCTCAATCTATTCGCAAGAGCAAGTGGGCTCAATCCCCATGATCCCGATGAAGCACGACGTGCTAGGCGCAGGTCGAGCTCCAGTAGCATGAGGCAGAGCATGGACAGTTCAAGGAGTGAAAGTGTGTCGGCAATTGCAGGACGAAGGAGCAGCGTGAGCAAGCGAGAAGAAAACGCACCCACAGCTCAGGGATTAGGTATTTCCAGGGGACGAGGCTCATAGTCTTGGTTGGACAAAGTCTTGGTCTCTTGAGGGTATCCCATTGAGTTGCAGTATTGATTGGCGTTACCAGCGAGTTGTCGTTCCCAGTCGCTATAGAGTAGGCATGCCAGCTCCTGTACCGCATGCATGTTAATCGGCATCATGATGAGCTTACAATAGTCATTTATTTGCCAATGCGAAAATGCGAAAAACTAAGATATTTGAGTAAATAGAGCTGAAATGGATTGTCAGTTACCAAATTCCCTGTCACATCATCCTACTTTTCTGAACAACAGACCATCATGTATTGAGGATGGAGGTAGCGGCCATTTCAGTTTCTCCACTTTGGCCTCGGTCGGTCCGGCTGGGGTTGAAGCGTCTGCAGCATTTGTCTTCGGTTTATCTTGAGCGTGTGCAGACGCTGTTGTTCTGCTGTCGTGCTTCTTCGAAATGTTTCTTGTCTGTTCATCCTGACGCTGCTCGTATTTGTTTTCAGAAGAGTTGACCGCCGAAACATTTGTTACACATATGGGAGACTTGAGTCGACCTCTGAAGCGAGTCGATTTTTCACATCGTCTTTTTGTACGTTTAGGAAGAGGTTGAAGTACCATGGTTCGTTATGCTAGCTACTTTAGAATCCGTCGATTTTGGGTTTAACAAGCATTCTTTGTAGGCATGCGAAAATATGTGCTTGGGAAGAGGGTTAATGTTAAATTTTGAGAGGAATTAATACATTTGGAGAGATGCTACCATGGAATTGGCGTATTGATTGTCAGGGTGATGAAGGCCGTAATGTTTGTACTGTCGTGGTGCTGTGATTTGTGCAAGAGGTGCTGGCAGATACGTTGTTCAGGACGTGGAAGTAATGAGATGGGTTGGAGATCGATCTATAGTGAGATACTGTAGTTGTATAGTATGTATCTTGACATTTTCCCGCATTATCCAAGCGGGACTTCATTCACGTCATCTTGGACACGCGAAGTGTGATTGTTCTGTGACTTGGAGTGCGATTGTGACCTCGGGTTGAGATGTCGCCATTTGGGGTGTTGGCTGTTTTACAAAGAACATTGGCTCAAAGTAGCGAGGCAAGTAATGTGGAGCATTGGTGTCGGTCTCCATCGGGGAGGCAACATTGGAAGGTGCTATCGCCTAACGGGGAAGGTGCCGCCAAGGCTCGCTTCTCTCACAGGTCGACCAATATTGCTCCCCACTCCGGGTTTCTGTTTCTCACGAACTTTCGAACGACAAAATAACGGCAGTCACTCTTTACAACCAGAAGCAATTGACTACCTCAAGCACTAGCCATGCGTGAGTATCATCCTTCTGGTCGGCTCTTAGGAGGATGCGCGGACTTTTCGAGTAGCTAGGACACCCAGATGCGGGTGTTTCCTAACACTCGAAAACTCGACATCTCCAATAGCCAGGCTTTCCTATAACGCCATACGCTTACATCCACAAAGCTCCCAAGTTCGATCCCTCCGAGGTGAAGGTCATTCACCTCCGTGCGACCGGTGGTGAAGTCGGTGCCTCATCCGCCCTCGCCCCCAAGATCGGTCCTCTCGGTCTTTCCCCCAAGAGTATGCGACAACCTCTTCAAAGAAATGCGTCTGGGCACGAATGCTAATCCGTTCCGCAGAGGTCGGTGAAGATATCGCCAAGGCCACTGGTGACTGGAAGGGTCTCCGTGTCACTGTCAAGTTGACCATCCAAAACCGTCAAGCCGCCGTCTCCGTCGTTCCCTCCGCTTCCTCCCTCGTCATCAAGGCCCTTAAGGAGCCTCCCCGAGACCGCAAGAAGGAGAAGAACATCAAGCACACCAAGTCTGTTCCTCTCGATGAGATCATCAGCATTGCCCGCACCATGCGCTTCAAGTCCATGGCCAAGGACCTGAAGGGTACCGTTCTTGAGATCCTCGGAACTGCCTTCTCCACTGGCTGCAAGGTCGATGGCCGCAGCCCCAAGGACATCTCCGACGACATCAAGGCCGGCGAGATTGAGATTCCTGAGGAGTAAGCGTTAGCACTAAGAAGTGTTCAACGATCACGATGGAACGATACATGCCATAGAGGGTGCTACATAGCTGAATGAGGATCATGTCTCCCACCAGAGTTAGCCATCTCGGGACCGGTGGAGTTTGCACAGCTGCGGCGTTTGGGATTTTTGATACCATACCACAAAAGTGACCCAGGCATACGACAATGATACAATGCATTTGTCAAATCAACATCCAATTCTTCGATTTGCTGTGACTCGATCTCTGTGGACAACATCAGCATGTTTACTGCACATACCATATCTCATTAACTCTGCTGTAATGCTACTCAGTACAGAGGGCTGAGACCACTGTCATCAAATATCCAAGCCAATTCAAGCGACCAACCAAAGCTTCTGTGATAGGTTGACTAATGCTCGAGCGTGAAGATCAAATAAGCATGGTAAGGTCAATGCAGAATGCGTCGCAAGCTCGGAGTTTTGCACGGTAATTCCGCGACTTCGCGTCACCAGTCGGCGCCTGGCAGCTGAACAACCAAAGCAGTCGCTCCAAAATGTCAACAACACGCAAACTTCACCCGTACAATGCGTCGAAGACGGTCAGACGAGCTGCCTCAATTCGCGAACGAGGCTGAATTCCCATCATTCCGCCTGCGCCGCCGCCACGCATACTATCTAGTTGGCTTCCTTTTCGTCTGCTGGATTCTGTATCCATCGCGCAACGCAACACCTGCACCTGGAACTGGCGATAATATAAAGGTCAATTGGTCAAATTATGCGTACAGTGTGTATGCAACCGATCGCGGGGAACTCTGTCATGCAGTTATGGTCCTGGAAGCGCTCGCTCGATTCGGCAGCAAAGCAGATCGCGTTCTCTTCTATCCCGACCACTGGGATACCAAAGTAGATAGCTCCCAGGACCGGGACAGTCAACTGCTTACTTTAGCACGCGATACATACAACGCGAAGCTTCATCCTGTGAAGCTACTTGAAGTGGCTGGTCGTAGTGAGAGTATGTATTACCCAACCACTTACCCATGCGGCGAGACAACACAAGCACATGGCTAACAGCATTGTAGATGGGTGGAAATGGGATGAGAGCGTCACTAAGTTCCTAGCTTTCGGCCTCGAGTACTACGACCGCGTCATCGCCCTAGAATCGGAGATCACACTCCTTGACTCCCTAGATGAGCTCTTCCTCCTCCCTCACACTCCGGTAGCGATGCCACGCGCATATTGGACGGATAGCAAACCCTGGCCACTATCGACAACGCTTATGGTCATTGAGCCTAGTCTTGACGAGTTAGAGAAGTTCAAGAAGCGCATGTTGGAAGGCGGTGACCCTATGCTGGTCGAGATGCATAGGTTTGACATGGAGATCATTAACGAACGCTTCGAGGAGAGCGCATTAGTGCTTCCACACCGACCATACGCCCTTCGTACTGCAGAGTTCACGCGCCACGACCATTCGGACTATCTGGGCGGTGCGAATGAGACATGGGACGCCGAGAAAGTGTACAAAGAGGGAAAGATTGTTCAGTTCAGTGATCGACCGCTGCCTTCTCCCATGGTCATGTGGTCAGAAGAGTCATTGAGGGATATGCAGCCGGATTGTGGAGGCAGCCACGAGGGAACATGCGCTGAGAGACGAATATGGAAGGGCCTGTACGATGATTTCAGGAAGAGGCGGAGAGATGTTTGTAAGCTGCTGAGCTTGCCAGCACCAGATTGGAACAAGATTAAGGAAGAGTTCCGCCCAGCGACTGCGATGAAACCAGCTATTGATGCGTCCTCAAATGAGACTGCTGCTGCTCCCTCTGCTTCTGGCGGACCTCTACTTGGAAACTAGCTAGCCTTGGATATCAGCAGAACCGTGTGCCTATATCTTATGTAGCTCTTAAACATCGCTTGTGTATCCTAGCTTGGATGCTTCAACACGCGGCCCGACTATAAAGTCTGCTAACCGACGCTGACGATGATCTGAAACTGATGGGCAAACGGCGAAAACGGCACGGTTATGCAAGGACGGCAGAAGACATGACAACGTCATCTTGGAGGAGACCGTAGCATTGCCGCTGGTGGTGGCTGTCGCATCAGGAAGCAAGCTGAAGCTTATTTGATTGCTACAAATATACACAGTTTAATTGGTGATACACTCTGATGGCTCGTGACAACAATCTTAGACAAGTGACGGATTTCTGCCATGCAGCGACAACGCGAGTCCTCTTGTTTGATGAGACATGTGGACAGCCGAGTACTCGCCATTCCGCACAACGTATCAGCCCGCGCGCTCGCTGCTCGGAAGGATCCATGGCGGCGCCGCCACCATTCGCGGATCCACCAAAATCTCCGAAGCATCTGCTTATCAGCTCTTGATTGCATCCTTCAACACTGTCGATATCGCAGCTGTCATACAAGAGCCCCAAATGCATGCCTACCTCAGAGTGTCAAGACAAGTATGTCACAACAGAAAGAGCAAGTGAGGTAGCACAAGACATGCATGCTGGGGTGACAGCCGTTTGTTTTAGCGCAGGACCCATCTGCGGCCGGGTGGTGGGGATCATCACCCACCTTCACTCTAGCCCGTACTTGGGGTAGATCATGAGCCAACCCACTAGGTGCAGGTCGTCAACGCGCAGGGTAACCATGACTATATCTCAAGATACAGAAAAGGAGCGTTGTATTGCAGCTAGCAACGCGCACTTCGTATAGGGGTCGCATGGATAAGTAAAAGAGGAGGGGTAGGTTACAGCACGACAGCAGCCACAAGGAATGCGGTACGGGTGTGAAGCCGTGGGCGGCACGGACAGGCGAGCGTGGGACGCTGTTGCAGCAGAGAGAGGCTCTCGAGAGCTGGACATGCAGCAAGGCTTAGCAAATAAGTGGCTGGCTTAACCTAATATCTCACTAAAGGGGCGCTTCCCGGTAGTGCATCATGCGCTTGATGATCTGTGGGCCTGCGAAGTGAATAGCCTAGCTGGGGTGGGAAAGCTGAACTCGTCAGTGCGGAACTCGAGTATGTCTTTCCTCTCTTCCCCACGTTGTGTTGACGCAGTAGATGGATTCCTGATTCATTGCTGATTCACTACGCGTGGTTGTGTAGTATTTATATCCGCAAGCATTCCCGTCCTTCCTTGCAACCATTGCTTGCTTTCTCGATACGGATTCGACCAGGACAACAACAAACACAGCAATGCGCGATTTCATACTGGCCTCCGTGGTCACGGCCTCAGCCTTGTTCGTTGGACAAGCTGATGCTGTCGCCGCCAACCCTCTTCCCAAACCCACGAGCATCACCTGGGGCGACTCTGGCTGCTTCTCTTTTGGATCCGTCGAACTCGATGCGCCCAACCATGAAGTGCTTTCTGCCGCCTTCGATCGCGTTACCAAGACAATCGCAGAGCTGAAATGGATTCCCGCAGCCACTGAAGCCCCGGTTACATCGTTTCAGCCTTTTCCGACCCCGACCGGTGCGTCGAGAAAGAGCAGGAGGCAGTATAGTGCGCCACCGGGAGGAAATTGCACCGGTACGGTCACCAAGGTCAAGGTTGATGTTGCCGACGCCCATGCTCAGCTCCAACATGGTGTTGACGAATCCTACACTCTCGACCTCGCAGCTGGTTCGGATACCATAGACATTACCGCGGGAACCGTCTATGGCGCCCTCCATGCCTTGACAACACTGCAGCAAATTGTTATCAATGATGGCTCTGGTAACATGGTTATCGAACAACCCGTCGCCATCGAGGACGCGCCACTTTACCCAGTCCGTGGAATCATGATAGATACTGGTCGCAACTTCATCACAAAAGCCAAGATCTTTGAACAGATCAATGGAATGTCTCTTTCCAAGCTCAACGTCCTGCACTGGCATCTTATTGATTCTCAATCTTGGCCTGTGGAGATTAACGCCTTCCCTGAGATGACCGAAGACGCCTATTCCGCCAACGAGGTCTTCACCCAAGACATGTTGAAGGAGGTCGTCGCCTACGCCGCCGCACGTGGTGTGCGAATCATCCCTGAGATTGACATGCCCGGCCACGCCAGCTCCGGTTGGGCGCAAATCGACGAGTCCCTACTCACTTGCCAACACAGCTGGTGGTCTAACGACAACTGGGCACTTCATACAGGCGTAGAACCCAACCCAGGCCAACTTGATATCCTCAACAACAAGACCTACGAAGTTACGGCCAAGGTGTACAAGGAAATGACACAAGTCTTCCCAGACAGCTGGTTTCACATTGGCGGCGACGAACTCTTTGCAAACTGCAATAACTTCTCATCTGCCGCCCTCGCCTTCTTCAATAGTGGAAAGTCAATGGGCGATCTCTACCAAGTCTGGGTCGACCGAGCCCTGCCAAACTTCCGCGCGCAGGCAAACAAGACTTTCGTCATGTGGGAAGATGTCAAGCTCTCCGCTGATGTGGCTGCTACTGGCGTTGTCCCCAAAGACGTTGTCCTCCAAGCTTGGAACAACGGCCTTGATCACATTAGCAATCTCACCGCACAGGGTTACCGCGTCATCGTTTCCAGTTCCGACTTCATGTACCTCGACTGCGGATATGGAGGCTGGGTTGGAAACGATCCCAGGTACAACGTCATGGTTAACCCCAATGCGACAGACGGCTCTCCTAACTTCAACTGGGGCGGCGGAGGCGGTTCTTGGTGTGCACCATACAAGACATGGCAACGCATCTACGACTACGATTTCACTTTCAACCTGACCGACAGCCAGAAAGCGCTTGTACAGGGCGCCATCGCACCTCTGTGGTCCGAACAAGTCGACTCTGTAGTTGTATCTCAGAAATTGTGGCCGCGTGCCGCTGCACTCGCAGAACTTGTCTGGAGTGGTAACAAGGATGAGAATGGCAACAAGAGGACCACGGAACTGACACAGCGTATTCTCAACTTTAGGGAATACCTGGTTGCTGTTGGTGTACAGGCTAGCCCGCTGATGCCAAAGTACTGTCTTCAGCATCCGCATCAGTGTGATTTGTATCTCAACCAGACAGCATTGCATGCACCTGTTGCTTAGAAGGCTGGGGTATTTCGTTTCTGTATCGGTGGTTTGACCATGATGATCATGACTTTGCTCTTGGTTGTGTGGGTGGAATTGTGAAAATTGGTCGAGCGATCATGGTCAGGAAGGAAGAGCGACGCCTGCGTGTGTCGCGGATTCGTTTCTTTATAGACACAATTATACCCGTTTTGGTCTGAATATACTATTTCTTGTATAAATTGAAACTTGGATATGCCGTGCTCTGTTGCTTTGAACTTCGGTAGTACTGAATGATATCTTCGTGATGAACCCTTGTACACTTGGTCAACAAGCTTGTGCTCTTAGTCGATCTATCGTGCAACAGATGGATTTGATTTAAATGACTATTGTTGGACCTGCCCTAAAGATCACAACTCCGTTTAACATGCTTTCGTGAATTTGAAATGTGCACAGTATCTTCTGTCGCGACCCATGCTCCTATTCTTCGGGTATCAATTTCGCGCCCCACATTCATTGCTCCCTCCTTCGCCTCGTCCGTTCTTCCTTACTTACGGCGACTTCAGGTTCTTGTCTGCGAGGACTTCATTTGCAGCGGCCATCTCTGGGCTGGTAATGTCCTTCTCGCCTAACGTTTGCGAGTTGGAAGTATTGTCTGAGCTGGTAAATGGCTTCTTCACAGCATCCTTGAGCTTCTCAGTAGTAGTTTTCTGAAGCGAATTGTTGTCATCTTCGGTAGATGTAGAGGTAGATGTAGAAGTAGAGGCTTCAGGAGCGATAGGTTCTATGGAGATGTTTTAGTATCTTTGTCAGATATTTGTGCGAGTGAGTAGGCAACAAATTTGAGTGGTAAAAGGACGCTAATCGGATATGGACGCAAGGACGAGTACGGACCTTGGAATTGGAGGTCGATGTCGTCACGGGACGGGCCATCAACATCAACGTGAGATGGAGTAGTGCTTGTAGCTCCTGGAAGTCCATTGACGGGAGGCTCTATATTGTGTTAGCGTACGTGTGCTTGTACATTGCTACACAACCGGCGACAACGCCGTTGGAGAATAGCACAAAAATGGGGCAACGTAGTCGTACCCTGGAACTGCGCCGTGTGGTCGGTAGTAGCCATAACTGATGCTATAGGTTAATTCAAGGTTGACTAGGTTGGGATATTCAGATGATGGTAATCTGACGTGTCGGACTTACGTCCGCGGGGCATTTGGGGTTGTGATATACATTCCCTCGCGCTACGTCACCGGCTGACTGTGCGTGTCCTGGCTGTCGCGTGCTCAGATGATTGGGACTGGCCGAGGCGCGGCCACCCCCGCTATTACGCCTCAGACCCTGACTTGAACCCTGAACTTCAGCACTATTTGGGCCAAGTGCTCGTCAGAGGCGCGCTGCCAAAATCTAGAAGGGGATCCAGGGATCTCGATTTCTTCATGCGGAAAGAGGACAAAGTCCTGAAGTATTGTTTGGCGTGCTTGGCTAAGGCTAGATGGCGTTCTAGACGATCCGGATTGTATGAAGCCCGTTCTCGTAGCGCATACACGGTAAACGAGCCCTTGTACCTTCGTCCAGTTCTGCCAACAGCATCTCCTTTTTGTCATCTGCAGAACAGCGAGCCACTCCAATCCTCTCGAACACATCGTCGTTGGACTCTGTAAGCCTGAAAAGCAGGCACCATAAGATAGTACCCTCATCCGATTTACCTACTAACCGCCCAGGCATAAAGAACAGTCGCTCTTGTGTATGATCGTCATCGAAAGCTACCTCATCATCATACAATGTATCGAGGGAGGCGTGTATTCGTTGTTCTGGGCCCTTAACGTTCTGTTTATAGACGATAGTACTGCCAAACACCATGTACCAGCTTATACCTTCGTCGTGTTTGACACCTTGCAATCTCATAGGCTTGAGACAGCCACGCAGATCTAACCATCTACCTGTCACCGCTCCTGTGATATCTTCAATTGCGTAGTGAAGTACAACATCTTCGGTATGTATCAAAATTTCCTGTGTGGCCCGACCAGTGTACTGTATTAGTCCATCCACAGACGCCCAAGACCAGGATGGCGCGCGGTAACTAGGCGGGCGTGGCTTGGGGCCAGTTACATGCCACATTAGGAACTTCTCAAGATTCCTGCACCACATGCCAGCGACATAAGCGTCTTTGATATAAGGCATCACATGCTTAGCCACACCTGAAAGGGCAACCAACTTGTCCCCTGGGACCGACAGGTTCCTGGGACTGTACGTCCGGACCAACGTGGTCCATAAGTCCTCCCAGTTTGTTTCACCTATGCTGTTCCCGTCAAGCTGTTGTGCAATGCGTTGTCGGTTTTTTGCTTCAGATTTGAGAAATGCTGAAGTATAATATAGACACACAAGCGGTAGCTCTTGAGGAAAGGTCTCACATACAGTATGTTCTCGACACTCCCAGAACAACTGGTCTTGACAAAAATGCAGAACTCGTGGTGCAAGAAAACGCTCCTGGAAAACCCAGCCACGTTTGTCGAGAGGCGAGTGCAGTAGGACATGTGTCCGGAGGAGATAGTCGGTCATCAGACACTCCACATGTCCAGTGTCTGACTGGACATCGTCTAGGTTGACTTTGACGCGCGGGCGGCCAATGTACAGAGGGGCACGGTGTCGGAAAAGGCCCTTCGTACTATCCTCTGCATCTGTCGCAGATATGTTACAGTGAGAGTTTGTATATACCATATCCATCGAGCTTGCTTCTCGGTACCAGTCTTGACGATCATCTCCACTTTGAATTATGCACAGTGAATCGATCCACAGGTAGAGAATTCCCAATTGTCTGGATACCTCAATGGCCTCTTGGAAAGTCTTGGGTAGATCAGCCAATGGGAAACAAAAGTTAGATTCAGATTCCATTGCTTGGGTGAGCTTGAGAGGCATGTTGTTGCCCCAGCAATGGCTTGAAGTAGCATAAGGACCGATTGGTGGTTCTCGTGCTGTGCGTATGAGCCGAATGTAGTTCTTGTCTTCAATAGGGTCGGCCAGGTGTAAGAGACGCGTTGGGTACCAAGTGCTACCGCCCTCAGATGTGTTGCAAGATTGATGTGAACTGGCACACTCTTGCAACCACTTGGCGGCCGTCTGCATAGATTCAGCTGAAGAAGTCCGGTCACTGGTAAAGCTAGATTGTACATCGGAATCCAGAGATAGCGTACAACCTGTTCGATGGTCAGCGCAAGTGTGTTCTACTGTGGCAAGACTTACTCTCATCCGGCTCTAGGATGAACATGTTCCACTTGTCGTAACCTACAAACACGGGATTGTAGCGTATCGCCAAGCTGAATGTATTAGGCATTGCCCAGTGCCCCAACTCCGCAGTCGTAACGAATGCAAGCGCAGGAGTCTCAGCTGGAGAAACCTCACCCTCTCTTGAATCAGCAGTATGGAAGGATTCCTGTTCATGACTGCACAATCTATTCCAAACCGTCTGGCAAATAGGACATCCGTTATTCGCCGATGTAGCAAGGGAATCGCGTGTTGTATGATGACCAAACTTGTAGATACATGTTAGCCTCGTCGAGTAGAGCCGGGTATGAACCACCCACTGCAAGTACTTACCCTGTATTCCGTTCCGACATCACGAGCATGCGGGTAATTCTGATCTCCGAATCTTGTCACCCGAAGGATATGATGACGATGCTGCAATACGCCAACACAAGTATCGCAAAACATCCTTAAGGTGACGTTGTTCAAAGATCGGTAGGTTCATGTTCGGATCTGGAAGACCAGGCTGCAATCGTAAGACATTAGTACCCCGCCACCTATCCTGTCACCTTAGCCGCTGCCATAAGCCTTTCTTTCCTCCCCTCTTTCCAAGCCTTGTCAAGTGCCTCCAATTTTCCGCCTAGCATCTGAACATTGCTCGGCTCAAGCATAACGACGCCTCTTCTTACATCGATATTACGCAGTACAAGTTTGGCACCCATGGCCATGTTGGTGTTGAGCCCATCGATTCCTCGCAGATCCATGGCATAGATCTTGAGTCCTTTAGCATCCTGCAGTAGCAGCTTGAAAGGACCTTTGCTCTGCATGGGTGCTGCAGCCTCAGCAGTCCCCTCGTTCTCTTGTTCTACAACGCGCACAATCTCTCTCCCTTTTGTCATCTCGCCCCGCTCTTGCGCTTCGATGGATTCGACCTGGGACCAACGCGAGTGGCCAATGTCTTCGACGTCAAGCACTTGACAGACAATCGGGCCAGAGACGATGCGGGATTGGATGGTGCCTTTTAGTACATCATTGGGAAACAAGGAGGCTGCAGGTTGACTGAGCGACGTGGTAATGTCGGTGGCTAGTAGGCGGAAGTGGGCGGTCTGCTTGATGGCGGGCAATGGCGTGTTCGGTCGGGTTGTGGAGAGGAAGCCTTGCAGCCATGCTGCGGTAGGATAGAGATGTCGCGCATTTAGGTGCTGTGTTAGCTCAGCTGCGATATTAGCTGCCATACCGGTAATCAATTGGAATTATGTGAAGTATGTGCGTGGGTTTGCTTCTTCGCGGATAAGGCTAAAGATGTGTGGGAAACGCGACGCGTAGAATGACGTGGGGCGTTCGTTCACGAATTGTGGCCTCGGCCCCTTCACATGAAACTCAAGCTTCAACATCATCCCATCCGCCAAACCTCACAAGACTTTCAAAGAGACAACATTACAACATGTCAACTATAGCCTCTCCCCGCGCCAGTTCCTCAGTCCGCAGCCCCTCATTAACCCGCACCTCAATCGACAGCAGCTCGTCGCATCGCCCACCCCCAGCCGCACGCCGAAACCGCGCCGCTCTTCGCGAATTCTACGGCCTCAAGAATGCTCCCAGAGACGCAACACCAGATGCCAGGATATCCGAAGAATCTTCAGCAACACAGCTTGGGCCAGAAGAAGACGAGACACTCACAGAGCTCGACGCTGCCGACTTCAACGCAGAAGCCTTCGTAGAGAGTTTACTTGCAAAAGAAGGCCTGAAGGGCGTTTTGAAGGTAGAGGCAGACTTGGTATCTCGTATGCTATGACTCTGAACATGGTAGCGGGTAGATCACAAGCTAATGCTGCTTCAGAGATCAGGAATCTAGATAGCGATCGCAAGTCCCTGGTCTACGACAACTATTCCAAGCTGCTCTCCGCAACTAGCACCATCCGACGCATGCGCGGCAACATGGACCCTCTCGCACCGACTACGCATACCCTCGGCCCCGCCATATCACACATCGCCGAGACAGCCGCTTCCCTATCATCCTCGCTACAGGGTAGCCATCAGTCAAAAGAAGAAGGATTAGGCATAAGCATACGTGTTGAGCAAGATGAGAAAGACAAACTGGACATGAACAAGAAGCGGAGACAACAAGACACGGTCAGGTGGGTATTGGACACACCGCGACGTCTGCAGGACATGATAGATCGAGACCAAGACGACGACGCAGAAAAGGAGTGGCAAGAGGTCAGTAGGATACTCGACAAGTGGAAAGGTGTCGCTGGCGTACAAGAGCTCAGGGAGCAATGCGAAGCCATTATGCAGGATGAAGACGACGAGGAAGACGAATCAGAATGAGGCATCTATTCTCTGGGATAAAGAAGACACCTTGCTCATCACAACATGAATGCTCCTGCACAAGTAGGCAAGCATGATGCGACCAATCATACAACCACCTCGTACCCTGCCAACATAGGTAAACGGCCAAAGGGATGCTCGCGTAGGACTCCAAGACACTGCAAGCCGCATACCAAGCATTACCACTACCCAGCGTTCAAGCCGCACCAACAAATATCTGGGGCCTCACAGCAGCTTTGCCAAAGCTTAACGGTATACATACCACGTGTCTGTTCAGCTGCTACCTACCCTGCCGCCTCGTGGAGGTCGTTAGATCCATCTCTAGCAAAATCCGGGGCCGAAACAAGACGGGAAAATAAGGCAAAAACTTAATTACCTTGTGTCCGTCCAAAAGCATAGGAGATACTTCTTGCATCTGTAACAAGCTTAACTTGCTACAATGCACGAGCGTTCATGTGCCGGCGATGAAGGACAAGAGGAGACCACTGATGTCGTTACAAAAGCTATAGCTTGCAATAGGACCAGTATCTCACAAGCGACCGAATCAATGATTTCTTTCTACCAACTGTCCACCGCAAGCGGACCTGCGAAAAAGAGAAGGATATATAATGTACGTTATCGCATCAAAAATAAAAGATGGGCAAAAACATACAACAGTGGGGATTCGCTAGTGGTCACCCACCTAACTACTAATCCGCCGGTACACTGCTTGTATATGGCTGAGCGGACGGGAAGCCTAATTTTCAGTGTCCTATGGTCGTATGTATCATTTTGACCGATCTGTAATCTATTGTACTCGAATTTTGCACAACCCTCAAGACTGGAATGCACGCTGGAAACATGAAGACAAGTAGGGTACCAATGTAAAAGACGAGGTGGAAAAGGTTGAGCATCATGTGTAAAATTTGAGAGCCACAACATGATAGATGTTTGGACAATTGTGTTGGTACATGACGAAATTTGAGAGATATCTAACGTATAAGGCGCTAAGCAGGATCGACATATTCGACCCTCTCCGCACACATGGTCTTGCACTTTCTGAGATAAAGCGTCAGACCCTGCAGCTAGAAGATCTCATCTGTACCATGCCATCAACCAGCATCGGCCCAGAACAGTTTCCTGTTATACCCTTCCATCTACCATCGCTACGCTTAGCTTGCCGCATCCTTGACCACACTCTCCCAAATACCCTGCCAATCCGCTTCTCCACCCCCATATCTCGCCTCAAACGCATTCATTGCTAGGTTGCCCAAGAATGGTCTCACCAACCGATTCACAAGCTCTCCTCTGGTCATCTCCAGCACCGCAGCGCCTTCTTCCTTCTCGAGAGCCTCGATGAGCGGATTTAGGAATAATGTCCGCTTAGGCTCATCAGCATCTGATCCATTGACCGCAGTTACAGGCATCGCAGGTGCTGTCGATGACCTGGTAAGAACCTCGTTGATCTCGTCTGTAAGAGACATCAGCGTCGGTGGTGTGACAGGCTTGTACACGGCGTCGATGGTGTCGGAGATGAACAGCCACTCCATAAGTTGGAAGTCATCGGGATCTAGAACAACTAGCTCGTCGAGTAACTTGCATGTCTGAATTATGCCGGCGTTGTTATAGTGTTCCTTGTTCGGAGCGTCTGGCAAGAGGGCCGATAACCCAGATGTTAACTCGCCATTTACAACCGGCCAAAGTAACGCGAGGTGAATAGGTGAGGTCTTCAGAATGATAGCACGTAACAGCACTATGACATCTGTACGGGTGATTGACGAAGGAGAAGACGCGGGTGTTGCGGTAAGCAACTCGACAACCTTCTCCAGAACCTGGGGTATGTTCGGCGTGAAAGCGTCCTCAGGGCTACCTAGAATAAGAAGCGCAATGCGACGTAATGTAAGCTGTGTCTTCCGGTCGGCTTCCTGCCGAGCAGACGTTGCACCTACGCCAAACATGAGGCCAGCTGTTGTGGGTGCTGAGAGCCGTGATAGTAGTTCGGGGACTCGCTCCTTGTCAGACTGGGTCCACTGTGCGAGGATAGGCAGCCAAGCTTCTCTCAGTAGAAGGGGCGGTGTATTGAAAAATTTGGGGTCATTGAAGGCATCATAGATGTCTTTCTTGAGTAGCTTGTTGCCTTGTGCAATCTTGGTAAGACCTTGAAGCAGATCCAACGTGTTCCTCGATACGTTCTCAGGGAACGCTTTTGCACGGAAGGTGGGGCCAATGACAGATGCAGAGATGTCAGAGACGACCTTTGCAACACGATCATTTTCTACCAGAATGATCGACAGTTTTGGTACAATGGTGGTGAGGATAGAAACAACGTCAGTTGCTCGCTTCTGTGCGCGGATGCCGTTGGTTATCGCAGTGGTCTTTTCACTTGCAGCTTGATTTGAGTCTTGCAAATAGCCCATGGAGCGTGTTGTGAAGATCGCAGTCAGGATTCTAGCAAAGATATCCTGTACACGTGATTAGCACCTCTACATCGAACGAACACATATACTTACTGCTAGCTCTCTCCGCATCTTCCGCTGCTCTCCGAAGTTAGTGTTATCAACCTTCTGACCTATGACAGCGGTGAACTCCAACAGCGTAGGCAGAATCTGTCGATGTGGGAGGGGATTCGCAAGCACGTCTCGCAAGAATAGAGTGCAATCCTGCCATATCTCGTCCATAGCATCGTCCTCTAAAGAAGTCGTATATTCAACCAAGAAGGCGACTAGTTCGGCGTCGGTAAGATCAGAGGTGAGTGTTGACTGTCGATTAGTGTCCAAAGCCCCAGGATCGGTCCGGCTGTACACGGCGTTGAAAATCGCAGGTATTGTGTGCTTTGGCTTTGACCCGTTGAGGACATTCAGAAGTCCTGTAATAGCTGGTCCTTGCGTATCATCAGGGGTCGCATGCGCCCATAGGACTACCAATGTCTCTAGACATTCCAGTGCCTCCGCAGCGAAGAGATGTTCTAATGTACGGCGGGCTCGATTGCGCATGCGCAGAGAAGTGTAAGAGAACGACGATGCTGACGTATGGTCTTGTACTTCTAGCATATGTCCCCATGACCATATCGCAAAGCATATACGGACCGTGTCTTGGAAGCATAGGAGAACTGAGAGTCTGCTGTTCGCGGTTGGCGTGCGAGTTTGGTTTGTATCAGACGAAATCAGGCCAGATACCACGTTGCTGAAGAAGCCCTGAGGCTGCTCCGGGGACTTGCTGGCCGACACCCTCGTCTCTTGTGTTGTCAAACGCTCGTGTGCCTTGGCCAAAATCTGCTCTAAACCGTTCATGAGCGATATCAGAGTGGACTCTGGAGATACTGTCGGCACGACTTGTGTCTTGGCGAATGTTGACTTGAGCTGCTCAAATGCAAGGTTGATCTCTTTGCAGAGACATTCCACAAGCGGAAGGAGGTTTTGGAATATTGTATCAGCGAACATTGGTAAAACCTCAACGAGGAATTGAATCCAGTCATCAAGGACCAAACGACTAGCTGGGGAGGAAAACCCGAATTTCAAGCACTCAACAAGCTGAGGAGGTGGAGGTATGGGCGCTGGTGTATTGTCTTCCGAATCTCTGTTCAAAGCTAATGACAGACGTGACCGGTTCGCTGGGTGGTTTGGAGGTTTTGGTTCTGGTGCGGGCTCTGGTGGACGGGTAAGACGGAGTTTCAGTGCGGCCAACTCTGCATCTAGTAAAAGACTTTGCAAAGATGGGCCTGCTGATCGTAGTCTTGCCATCAAGGGTACTTCAAGTTCCAAGTCTCGAAGTGGCGGAGCAAATGGACTACGATAGATTTGCGATATGACGGAGACGGACAGTCGGTGTAGTTCGTGTATATGGGGCTCCAGGTTTGATTCCGAAGTACCGGCTCGAAGCGACAATGTGGTCAAGCAGGTACGTACGAGCCACTCCTGGATGGAAATTCGCGATGATGATGGTTCTGGCCACGTAAGAGTTACTTCGGCAAGAGTTACCCAAGTGAAGTGTGTTGGTCTTTTGATGACATTAAAGACGTGTCTGAGGTAGTACAGGCATTCTTTTGTATCATCTCTTCTAGAGTGCGGTGGTCGTTCCTGCGACCCCTTGGTAGGTGCCAGATTGCTTGAAGCTAGGAGACAATTGAGCGATTGGATGTGTAGTGCAAGTACTTCAAAGACTCTATTCAAGCTTGGTAAGTCTGGCAACCAGTTTTGCATGAATGTCGAGGTTTCAGAGCCCTCTTCTGTCAGAGTGTCCAGAAGTAAGAGTAGCGGCCTTGTCAAAACAGAATGAAAGTCACCAGCGGGCGTTGGGGCTTGCGTGACGTTACCACTCGGTCGGCGCGTAATGGTCACACGCTTTTCTGACTGCAAGTTCAATTCGTGCATGATATGCGTCCAGAGTGTCGCAAATCGTCGGGCACAGTCGGGAGAGTTGTTGGAGATAGAATCGCGGCCTGTCTGCTCCACGATGATAGAAGCAATGGCACTTTCAACCATCCGGCTTGTAGGTGCAATGGAATGCAGCTGCAGCAAGGAGCGTGCCGTTTCGACATGATATTTGGGCAATGTCGGCGAGAGATATTGCCAGAAGTACTGAACTAAAGGTTGGATGAGCTCAGGCAATTGGCTAGAGGTGATATGAGGTCTCGACGCAAGTGCTGTCTGAAGTGCCAGCAAAACAGTCGTAACAGCACTTAAGTGCGAGAACGAAAGATCTTTGTTAGACTCGTCAGACGTTTGGAGAATGTCTGCAAGCATGGTAGTGAGATCAATGTCCTCAATGGCCTTTAAGCATTGCGTTTTGAATACCAGGTTAGACAAAATCTTGGAAGGCATCTCTACAGAGATCTCAGAGTCCGTCGACTGGATGGATGCTGTGAACATGCAGGAAGCCTCACGAAGCACGATTTGACCAAGCAGTGGTGGCTCGAAAGGGGGGTCAGCTGCATCAAGACTTCCTTGAGATTCTTCGTAGAATGCCCGGATTTGCTGGGTCACAGTGGATCGTGGTATCTTGAGGGCTGCAGATATCTGCTG